GTCACTTTGCTCCTACATGGGACTGTCCCTTTAACCCATTAAACATGTCGCTGTCATTAGGTCACTTTGCTCCTACATGGGACTGTCCCTTTAACCCATTAAACATGTCGCTGTCATTAGGTCACTTTGCTCCTACATGGGACTGTCCCTTTAACTCATTAAACATGTCACTGTCATTAGGTCACTGTGCTCCTACATGGGACTGTCCCTTTAACCCATTAAACATGTCACTGTCATTAGGTCACTTTGCTCCTACATGGGACTGTCCCTTTAACCCATTAAACATGTCACTGTCATTAGGTCACTTTGCTCCTACATGGGACTGTCCCTTTAACCCATTAAACATGTCGCTGTCATTAGGTCACTTTGTTCCTACATGGGACTGTCCCTTTAACCCATTAAACATGTCACTGTCATTAGGTCACTTTGCTCCTACATGGGACTGTCTCTTTAACCCATTAAACATGTCACTGTCATTAGGTCACTTTGCTCCTACATGGGACTGTCTCTTTAACCCATTAAACATGTCGCTGTCATTAGGTCACTTTGCTCCTACATGGGACTGTCCCTTTAACCCATTAAGCATGCCACTGTCAGTACGTCACGTTCTTCGTATATGAATACATTTATTTTTGCTACTGTCCATGTGTAACTTGGCTCCCAGCGCACATCACAAATCTCTATTAGAAGTAACAAGCTGCCCACAGGAAGGTCAGGGCAGTTACTAAGCTTTTGCAGTTCCCATATGATGTGGAAATTCACATCCCCGGAGAATGACTGCGTTCTGGGTCAGTGAGCGTACGTTGCACAAACTGTACGACTTCTGTCAGACCCAGGAGAGCAGGGCTGATTCAAAGGGACAAAATGCCAGCTCCTCTCTGTGTCCTGCGCTCAGTGTCTTATCGAGGGAGGCCTTTTCACACTTCCGTAATACACGTGCGCAGGCGTCTACATATTGAGTGCTTCAGCCGCTATATGGCGAGAAAAGGTTTCCACATCAGTATCAAGGACACATAACATTACAATTACCCGTGAATACTTCCTAATGCACAGTTAAGATAACAGAATGATTTAGAAAAATAACAAACAAAACATTAAAAAAATAACACGCACAACTGGACAATGTTACAGGTGTTAATTTGTAAAACGCGTGTAGTAATCCGTATGACGTTTACAATTTGTACCGTCTTCTAGGTTTAGGTTAACTAAGCCAAGAAAAAAATATAGCTGGGGGGTGGAGGGGGGGTAGGCAACAGACGGGAGGGGTTGCACAGTGCCGGCACATTGCTTGTGCACTGTATGACGGTAACCTGGAGCTGGGTTCAGTACTGGCACCAAGGGAGCTGCTAGGATTATTCTGTCCTGATTACCAAGCTCCCTTGTGCTCCTTGTACTGGAGCCAGAATGTGACATTGCAGCTCCAGCATCCGTACAGAGCAGCACGGAGCTCTTACAGCAAACCACTGGACCCCACGGCTTTACTCCAGCTCTCCCAATCAATATACGAGAAGCCTGGGTAGACCTGAGAATAGATAAATAATAGGTTACATGAATTTCTATGAATTTTTTATGAATGTCTGCGTGTTTGTATGTTTGTGTTTGTCTGCGTTTGTGTATGTCTGTGTTTGTTTATGTCTGTGTGTGTTTATGTGTGCGTGTTTATGTGATGTGAAAAAAGTACTGATGGTGCAGGCACTCAAGTTCAATTCAGTGGGCAGATTTATTGGAGTAAAATTGAAACAAAGTTTTTGGCCCACAACAGGACCTTTGTCAAGGACCATCATTACGTTTTTGCAAATCACATTGTGCGGATTGGCCAACCTCAGGCCCGGTTGTACCCTGGGATCCAGGAGAGTGAGGTATTCGTATTGGTAAATATATTGATGCGTGTTTATATGAGTCTGTGTGTGTATGAATGTGTGTATGTGTGAGTCTGTGTGTGTTTGTGTCCATGAGTCTGTGTGTGTCCGTGTATATCAATG